CCCCAAAACCCCAAAACCCCAAAACCCCTGTATGAAGAAAGCGTGGTGGTAGAAGCTATAAAGAATTTAAATTTTGAATTAGTAGCTACTTATAACTACAGTCATAGCTTAGGTTATTCAAGTTTAATTGTTTATCTTTAAACTTCTGGACTGTGCTATAGAGAAATATAGGACAAATTGAGTTTTGTTTGCTTTATCTATTATTTATACTTGCATAAATTTGCAGAACCTTTCAACTCTTTAATTTAGGTCTCTAGTTGCTCATAATCATCAAAGATATTTTCTACAATGTTGAGATTGAGTGCATCTTTGGCATTGAATCTTTTACCATATTTCAATTTTCTAATTGCATAAGGAGCCAATTATTATTGGATAAAAGCTGTGAAATATATTGGGATAGTTACTCCATAAATCAATTCTGCCATACTGATATAAGTTTTTCCATTCCTCATCAATACATAGTCATGAGCGAGACCGAAGAATAATCCACCGGCAAGAGCACTTCCGTTAAATACACATAAAGTTGGAAATGGAAGTAAATGAATTCTTTGAATAACAGTTTAGAGAATACCTGGCAATTTGGAGATAATTGAAGGATCATCTTTACCCGAAGAAATATCCATACCACTTGAAAATAGCCTTGTGCTTTTACCAATGGTAACCATGAACTTTGGTCCTTCTATCATTTCAATTTCATCTAGACACTTATGAAGCTTTTCCACATATTCAGGATTGAAATTGTTATCTGGCCTATTCATCACTAAATATACGAGCTCATTGTCCCTTATTACCCCAACTTCGTTTTCTTTTATTTTTTCAACAATGTCTTTTACAGGTGTGTAGAAAATTGGTTAGCTCTATGGAGTTTAGGTTTGTGGCATTTTTTCCATTGAAGAATTCATTTATAAATTTGGATTTTATCCTTATTTAAATTAATGAAGAGGTTTGAATAAGATGTTAAACTAATAACTCTTTAAAATACTAACTAATCAAATGGGGTTTTGGGGTTTTGGGGAGATCGGAAGAGCACACGTCTGAA